GGTAAAGTTAACTCTGAGTGATTTCGGATTTGCTTTGGCATCTTCACATTTAGCATTAATTTACGACTAATGCTCCACTCACACTACGCACTTAAGTCTTCGAGATGTGAAAGTTAAGTGTAACTTTCGATAGGTGGCGTTAGTTTACAATTACCGAAACTACTATTTAATGATTGATATTAAAGCTAATCCTTCAATAGTTAACACTGCTCTGTTATTGATAACAGAAACATCAAAGTTCCTGGGATTTTATTACCTATTATTTTGGAGAATTTCCGACGTATCTTGTTATTTAGTTGTCTCTGCTATATTTCAAATGCCAGGAGATTTAATGAAATCCTAGTCCTAATATAGATATCGAAAGGCTTAGCATCCCCACTTACCCTCAAAATTGTAAGAGGTTAAACTAATATTGTCTCTCATAAATTCATTGATGCCTGCAGAGCCTGAAGAAAATTCATTTACTTAACTAAGCTGATGCAGTAACTCTATCTATTCCGTGCTTCGTGCTGCAAAGAGAACAACAACACAATAACAAGAACAAAGATAAACCCTTTCTTCACAACTGTGCTTGAAAACTAAGAAAAAAACACAAAGAAACAAAACACAATACAAACAAATAAACATAACTGACAATAGTGAGAATAATCAAACGTAACGCCGTGCCAGCACGTGTAAAGCATGCCTAGCCAGGACCCCGGACAATGAAGCAAAACACGAAACTTTTCTGTCACCTAAAAATTTGTAATCTCCACGGAAAGCAAGAAGAGAGGAGGTGTAATAGAAACAGTGCTATTGTAGGTGTATACGAAGAACTGATACTGCTGTTAATAAGTTGTTTGTTTCCTTTTTAAAAGTTTAGTTTAGAAGTACAATAAAACAAACAGCATTGAATTGAGGTTTTTCTTCGACAGTAACGTTAACAGCATTGCGTAGAATTTTTAAGAAGGTTTGCTTAGATTTAACATAATAACAACTCATCAGCATTCAAAACTTAGGGTTTAGGCTTAAGGCTGATAATCATTACACTGAATATTATTGCACGAACTTGCTTAAGGAAAAAATACTTCGGTTGTGTATTTTGATAGCAAATGCGTTCAACAACACCTGGAGGCATGCACCGGAAGTACCCTAAAGAATACGTGTCAATGCATTTAAGTGGGAATTAATTGAGAGAATCATTATTTCCACGCAATAAATTTTAAATATGTGCTGAAAAGAATTTTTCTAAAATATTTATTCAACATTGATTTTACATCTGGTCACAATATCTATAAGACCTTGCTTAAAGTGATCTCAATACGTCTATTAGTAGATGCTTCATTTAAAAAAAAAAGTTGAACTATGTTTCTCAGTTTGTCTCATCGTTTTACTTCGTCAGAATAGTTCCCTAGTACAAACATAGGTAGAAATCATGGGAGACTTTTATCACAGGTAGAAGTTAACCTCGTTTAAATATATTTAATTATAGATAGGATGCAGTTCGCCTATGAATTGTAGGAATAGTTAAGAATTGCCTTTCATACTGAGCAGAATGGGACCTTCAAAGACGAAAAGTGCGAAAGCTATATTCGCCTTATTTCCGTTCTCCGATCTGTGATCTCTACAATCTGAAATCTGTTTGTAGGCGGGCGGCTTTTTTTAACGCTGACTTTATGTTAAGCTGACCTTTTTGGTAAATATTTCTGTCAAATTGTTGTTTCAACCCCATCTAGAGGTCATTAGCTAAAGTGACTTTCCAATTTAGTTTATAGAAGGATCACGCCCATTTATACATAAAAGCTTGAGATGGTTGTTGATTCCCGCATATACCAAACTTAAGGTTAACAACTGTTGTAAATAGTGAATTAAAACTTTCTTCTTATTCTAAACGGGGTTGTCAAGGGTTAAGGCGTTTTAAAAATAGATTTTATAAATTTCAAATTTCGGAGGACGAGCGAACAGATGGACAGAACTAAAATGATTCAAGAATGAGTAGACTTTGCTTCTGATGATGAGCACACTTGTTCGAAACATTAGCAAATTACGCAAATCTTTGCTCAAAGGTCAGGTCCTTGAATGATTGTAGAAAGTTTTGAATCGATGAGAACACTTGTCACTTCCACGGCTTGGCCTTTCTTACGATTAGATGTCTTTGAGATGTAGCCGAACCAGACGACGCACCGCACTGATAGAAAGTTTGGAATGATATTCAAGAACTGGAAATATTCGTAATAAAAACCAAAGGATTTTTCAATCTTCAAAAAATATTTACTTTAAGTTTTATTCATTACTTTCTTATCATTTAAGTAAATTTACTTTTTCGTTCAAGAAAGTGTTGATAACATTGAGATCTTAAACTATAGTGTATTTAGCAAAATAATAAATTCATTTATTTACTTTGTTTTATACGTTCGCATTTGGGTAAAAACCAACAACAATTGACTAGAAAAGCAAACAAAACGAAACTGAGCAAAAACTTAATTTCTTTTAATATTTCTAACATTTTTTGTATAAAAATCACAACATTTGTGAGTGGAGATATATTGAACAACTTTAAAAATTTTATCGACATAATTTGAATCTACATTCGTTTAGTAATGCTATTGTTATTATATTATAAGGTTACCTTCGACTTTTTCTCGCAACAACGTCTCAAAAACCCGTTCGGATAAGAGAGGAATTTCTCGGATCACCTGCTTGTTAGTTAGTTTCACCAGTTGGTGAGGTGAAATCTACCCATGAATCATTCTTCACAAATGTGGTTCAAAGTCGTCTTTTTGAGTGTCCAATTTCGTTTCCGTGAACTTTTGGGAAAATTTCGCCCTGGTATATAAAATGGTACCAATGTCGACTTGAGTAAGACTTTAATCGTTCTAGTGACATGTCCACAATTAAGCGAAGTTGTTGTCAATACTCGAAAACTCTTTCTGTTCTTTCGTCAATTTGCAGCGATCATAATAATTCTGCCAGTGACCTTTCTAGAGTCCAGGCTTTGCATTTCGCAATGTTGCCTATGGGGCTAAAACAGATCCTCACATTTTTACGTTAAGCTTATGGCCTACTTTGCGCGCAAAGTATAGATAATGAAAAAATCTTCCAATTACGTGAAATTTTTATATGTGAGAACGCAATGAGTCAAAAACTAAACTCTCACGGCCATTGCACCCGTAGACATAGGTCCGAGATTATGAGCCTCATCCCTGTATTATTATTAAGGTCGCGGCTCACAAGGTCAATGGCTCCTCAAAAGAAGACGAACCCAGCAGCCTAACCTTTGACCAATTGGTCTGATTAACTTTTGCAGCATCAAGGTCAGACGTTACTAACTGCCTGCATTCTAGTCAAACGAAAGGATTTGTGCGTCGCACATTTAACCTGTAACGCAGCGGAAACAAAGTCGTTTTAGTGGAAGAAGGCGAATTCCTCATCAAAAAGCCTGATATTGTCTTTATCTAGAAACAACTCAGAAGATGACGAAGTACTTAATGTAATCACTACTGTGTTAATACTTACTTTTTATTCTATATAATTAGACTTACAATTATTTTTACACTTTCTCATTCTGTTGTCCATTTTAGACGGATCATTAAAGATAAATAAATTTCGTTCTATTCGATTTGTACTTGTTTTTAAAACAGACCTTACTTCAGCGTGTCTTCTCTTCAAAGAACTGTTTCCCTCCATTCGCCTGAGGGTTTCTCGCGTTCTCATACATAACTTAAGCGTCGCTGGGAGTATCGTTTACGCTCTGAATTCGACTTATTGCTGCTGAAGTGACCCAAACTAGTGCTCATGGCCGATTCACAAGCTAATTGTGTATGATTAAGATGTTCACCCATTATGAAGGAGCACGTCGGTACGGCTAGTAAATAACGTCTTAACTGTTGTTTAAAAACGGCTGTAGTCAGAGTATAAAGTATAGGATTTAAAGCCGAGTTCACAGGTAAAACTAATACCGCCAGCCAAGCATATAGAGCCGGAGATATGGAACAGCCTGGAAGGATTAAATATATCCCGAAAAAAAATAATAAAAAGACTTTTTTCGCATTTAAGTAAACACCACCTGATAATGCGGCCAATTTCACCACAATTATGGGCAGCCAACAAGCACAGTCGGTGGTTATGATAATCGCAAATCTGCTCAAGTTATCGAAAAGCAAAAAAAAAAGAACATATTTATCAAGGTTTAGTTGCTTTGAATACTTAAAATTAATTTTTCTTTGTAGTCGGCTGTAAAATATTGCTTGCTTACCTGGTAGCTACGACACTTTCTCGTCCACTTATAGTGCTACGCATTCCGCTGCCAGAATCTCGTATGGCTTGCAACATACGCACATAAGAAATTAAAATAAAAACCAACGAAAAGGTATTGATGCAGATAAACAAAACTGCGGAATATTCCCAACCCTAAGCGATAAATAAAAAAAGTAAGAAGAAAAATAAAGTAAAATACCTATAAAGAATGAAGTAAGTGACATTGAGATTTTTGCGGAAATCGATAAAATATTAAGGATTTCACTTGAAACTGACGTTCTTTTGTTAATCAATTTTATCTTCAGCGTACACACACTATAGGGAAGGAGCTCATTCTTCTGAACCACTAAAATTTAAATCGTTCCAATCTTCTCATGGAGAGACTATGAACGTAAAACCTCCACTGACTTCGCTTGAGAGAAACTCGGCACAGACGAAAAAAAATCAAATGAGTTCTGTGGGGCTACTTAAAACTAGTTTTGGTCAGGTCCAACATCCTGAAATATGCGTAGCTCAAGATCCCTAATAAACATAATTATAAAAGGAAAAATATGCATTTCTTTCTTTTTTATTTCCGCACTAGAGCCCGAGTAGGCAGAAGATCTCGGCTGACAACAAAACGGTCGCGGATCCTCGAATCTCAAGTGCGGTATCTTCTTCAATAAAGCCGGAAAGGGAAAAAGCGCCTAAAATTGCTAGAAAGACATGCGTCGTTTAAGGCGGGGAAGGCGTAGGCGCAGGCGAAAGTCTGCGAATTTTCATTCCTTTGATCTTAATCTCTTAAATGTCTTCTGATTTGGTTGGGCAGTCATCACCTAACTCGATTACGAGCCGCTTTTGTGATGACTACAAATATCGGACACACCTTCAATGTTAACAAATCCACTCTCTGACGTTTTTTTGGCGGAAGTTTCTCAAGTACTTTGAATTCTAGAGAGAACCGTGAGAACCCTCGATTTTCCAACGACTTCGATTTTGCCTAACGCGGAAGGAGGACTATGTACCCATAGCATGATTTCTTTGTGGGTCTGGGAAGGTACACATACCCGTGGGCACTGAGTGATGCAAGATTCATTTTAGATGTCTCCGAATACCATGGAGCTTTACTCCACTCCAGGTGCACAAGTAAAGCGTTCGCAAGATTTACTTCAATAAAACGGTTTAGCTTAAATCAGTGATGTTTTTAGTTCGCTTAGATGGATAACAGAAAAGAATTAAGTTCCAGCGGAATTGTAAACAAATAAATTGTTGCAATATGACAACAGCAGCATCGACCGCACATAACGGAATGAAATTTACGTAAAACCATAACAAAGCCACTCAGCTCAATTGTCGAAATCTCAGGTTTCCTGTCTCCCATCGTGACATATATTTAAACTCTCATTTGCTAACTAACTCATCATCCATATGCACTACGAGCACGCTTACCTTGGCATAAGGATCATGGATATGCAATGACAAGCATACACCGTTGGTGCCATAAAAATGTCGTCCAAAATAATCGAAAGGAAACAATGGAGCTGCTGCCAATACAAATGATATGCTCCATAGCAAGAGTAAACGCACAACCATTCTGAAAAAAAAAGCAAAACAGCCAAAAGTAACATTTGGTTTAAGTGCACGCGAGTTAAAATCAAATATTTTTGTCGTTTAGTATTGTAATTGTTGTTGCTGTTACTTGTCCCATTGTCGTTATGTTTATCAGATTAACGTAGAAGCGTTCTTGCAAATTGACATCTATGTGGCAGTAGTAGTGGCAACAAGAGCTTCATATGAAATGAATGAGAAATGAAGGCAAACCAACCGATGTAATGGTGAGGTGTTAACGCACTTCATATAGTAAATGGAAGGGGGAATGGAAGAACGAATTTCCCACTAAATGCAATATTTTTTTATTTTCGAATCGGTAAAGTTGCAACTTTCATATCAAAGTTCAGTCTTATACGTTTCTCTCGATGGAATATTCGTTCATATATTATTTAAAGTGGAACATATCCCTGGCCGCAGATGGACTCGGACTTTATGCTTGAATTCATCCCCTTTATCAGCCTTATATTCAAAGTCAATTATAATCCGCGAAGTCGATGGTATTATGAACAGTTTGAAAAAGGTCAGTCAGGTAGATAGAATTGCTTTAATGACGAGACTCGTCTCTGAAGAAAAGGTTTTCTTAACATTTTCTGAAAACATCTAAAAGCCCAGAGCCAGCAATGTTTTGTTTATCCAATTGTATCGAAATGAAATATACTTGGAATTACCTTTTATGGCCACTATCTCTAGTTTGTAGTGGATTCATTACTGACATTAACCGATCGTAGGTGACCAGTGTCAACAGCAACGTCGACGATTGGCAACTGAATGTACTCAAGAATCCTAGGAAAATGAAAATAAATACAACAAATTCAAGGTAGAATTATGTAAATATAGACAGAGAGAAATAGTGACTCACCCGAAAATGCACACAATGCGCTGTGACGCCAGGACTCTTCATACACAATATATTCGCCACGGAAATTGATATCGGCACAAGCGATTATGGCCAAATAAATGCCCATAAGAAAATCACTCGCAGCCAAGTGTCGCAGATACAGAGAATGCTCGACGTTGCTTCGTGTCTTATATAAATAACGACCCAGCAATACCAACAGATTACCGACAATGGCGACGGACGCCATCACCCATACGCTGCTCCACACATTAAGGAAGATATCAACCAAAATGGAAACAAAAATAAATGTCATGGTTTTTGGTAAACAGGTAGGTAATCTCTCTAACACCTCGCAGGCATTTATTAGACTAAATGAAACTAAATGAAAAAAATAAAATTATATAATAAATGCATAGCGGTTGCAAGGAAGACGTCCTTGTCGTGACAGCACATTTCATGAGTTGTCAGTACGTGTGCATGAAATATTTCCTTTTAAAAATTTCAAAGACATTTTTCGTCTTCTAAGCTAATCGAGAATTCGCAACAACATAACTTGTATAAATTAAGCGTTCATGGAAAACACATTTGCCAAAAACTTGTAGAAATAAATATAAACCGAAATACAAAAACAAAAATAGCTCAGGTTTGTGATTTGAAGTTAAAAGTTCTCTTCTTCACATTCCGTTTTATTTCCTGTCCGACTGGATTATTGAAAAGTTTTCCGTGTTTTATTTTCTTCTTTTTTTTGTGCTCTGCTTTTTTGTTATCGGCGTGCGGTTTGCTTTCTTACGAGGCGGGCCAAAACAATTTGGCTTTCATAACAAGTAAAATTTAAAACAAAACGAAAAGAAAAAAATGATAAATTCTTCGAGTCTAATTAATGGATGCGTGTGGTGTCTGGGCGGCGTACCACCCACAGACTCCTCGCACACAAGTATTCATTCAATATGACGGCAAGTGCCTACCTGCCCCTCAATATGGGATTATCCAATAAATGATAGGTGCTGCTTATACCATCACCGTGCGGTTCACATACTCGTACATGCAATGCCGCCCGACACAAGTGAAACCACGAGAAATAACTGAACAGAGATTAGTTATTCCGGTTTTTTTGTTGTTGTTTTTTTTCAGAAAAATTAAAATTTATTATTATGAGTGTGCTTGTTATTGTTGTTGTTGTTGGTGTTGCTGTTGAAACTGCAGCTTGCTGAACTACTTACATATAATTTAGGTTCGTTAAATTTTGTAAAACTCTGCCATCCAGCGAACGAAACTCGTTATCGGTCAACAGCAATGAGGTGAGGTTTTCCAAACAATCAAAGGCATGTACATCAAATATACGCAGTCGGTTGTCATTCAAATGCCTGTAAAATAAAGAAAGAGAGAACGCGATATGCGCTTATATTCCTCTAATTTATGTTAGCTTCAAAGTTTTCCTAAACTAGCTTTTTAGACGAATGTTGAGAAATCATCAAATTTTTATTCGGCGGTGGGTGACTGCAGCAAATGAAATCATTAACACAACAATGATAAAAAAAATTGCATCAAACTTTCATTCAGTATTTGTTATATAAAGCTTCATATGGTTTATTTTTTTAGGTTAGGTTATAACGACGTCGAACGCGATCATTTCATTGCAAAATAGTTGACGTTTCAACAGCACATTTATTAAATTTTTCCAAATAATCCTCAACGACTTCACGGACGTTTACGTAGAGTGAACTCTTGAATGTTTTGTGGACAGTGCATATGCAGTTCTCTACTTTCCTACACCAATGGCGGAGAATGAAGCAGTTGTAGGCAAAACTTGAAGGATTGCTCGGAGTTGGGTTTGGATTGCAGCTGAGCTGGGGCGACGTAACCCGAGTGGGAAAACCCTATTACGTTTTGTAAGGACTAAAAGAGTTGACTTATTGGTGTCGTCCAGGTGTCCGGGTTCACTTGGCAGTAAATCACGATTAGAATATTGCCCTGCCTTCGTAACTATAAACTGTTTCCCACGCAAAGTATCCGTACCGGACAAATAGGTGATCGCATCCGTTTTCAGTTCGATAACCTAACAATGGCATAACACTGCAGATAATTTATCTCCAAAACGAACAAAAGGAAATTCTTATGAACAATTTGTTGAGGCTCACTCAACTTACGTCCATTATGACCCCGCAATCCTTATAAATTCATGTACAATAAAAGGAAAAATTCCATCATCAAAACAAACCTGATACTTTTTCCTCACAGTTGTCGTAAACTCAGCTTTAGGTACAAACTCATAAGTAACTTTTCTTTTACCCCAAAATGCCTAATAATTTTGCAGTTCACGAAATATTCGCCGCGAAACGAAATTTTTGTTTTAAAATATTTTCAAGCTTCGGTGATGGATATGCGAACTTTCTTTAAAGGCTATATTAATAGTCTTTGTAAGTGTAAAGAGAATAATATATCCTTGACTTCCTCTATTACATGCTTCTTAGAAACATAGTATGTAAGTATGTATATTCTATGCATTCTATTTATCCGGAATGAAATTATTTTCTTTTCTCCTTCTCTTCCTATTCGTATCGTCTGGAAGTTTATGCATATCATTAGCGAAAATTTGCTGTATAACATCATGTAACACTCGCGAAGACATCCGACACACAAACGTTGCATATCATTATTTATAAAAGGTTTAAGCATAACAATCGTCATAAGAAAATTTAAAATTTCCTTTATTTGTTCGTCTTTAAGAATAAATGACCTGAATACCTATCCTTTCAATAGTATATAAACGGAGTAAACCGCTCAAGATGTTGAGATGAGATTGCCATTACTATCTCTGATAAAATCACGCTCTGCGCTCCGTAGGCATAGGCCACATTGGAATGGAATCCGTCGAAATCAGCATAGGAGATGTTAACGCTTATGCGAGTTTTACAGATGAAAGATGGACATGGCTGAATCGATTTGATAGCTAATCAATACTGACAGAGTGTTGAAGCATATTTCTCACAACACATGTCTACGGAAAATCTTCAAAACCCGATTTTAATCCATCGACTGCCTATTTTCAATGTTTAAATACTAGAAGGTGTTGCTTAGTGAAAAAGTTTTTGAATTATGACATGGCTTAGTATACTTTTAAGATTTCGTAGTTAATATGCGTCGCGTGTATATGCACACACGTTCGTGCATACATAGAGATATGAAACTTTTCTTGCTTCATATTTTTTCTTTTTATTACTACGATATATAGAGATTAAATTGCATGCCTTTGTATCTAACTTACTTTGTCGTACACATATATGTATATATATATATGTATATATATATATATATATATATATATCAGATATATTAGAGTGAGTGTATATATGTTAGAAGCGTTTGCAATATTTATGCCCAGCAGTTGTTATTCGATAAGGAATTTTATTCAACCATATGCTTACATGCATTGTACACATATATTATATATATAAATATGTGCATGTGTACGTGTTTTATATAAACACAATAAATGATATGTTTTCCACTTCTTCTATGTTTAAATATAATAGAACTTTAAATTACTCCAGTAACACCGATTCGTCTATATACACATAGCTGACTTAATATAAGTCTATATAGATATTTTTAGTTTTAATAGCTCGGTAGGTGTACGGTTAGTAAATAGGAAGGTTAAGCCTCAGTTGCTTATAATATTACGAGAGTTTCATAAATTACTCAGTCAAGTTTTGCTTGTTTTTTCCCTTTGTTCACATCAGATTTTTTTTCAACTTTTCCCCATTTACATAGAAATTGATTTTCTATACAAAGTATAATTTATTTTAGTTTTGAAGCGGTAAAAAAATGCAAGTCGTGAAGAATTTGTGTATTGAAATCATAAATCAGTGCAACTGAGCAAAGAAAATAAATAAATGCGAAGCTTTAGCAAAACATCATCACTGGGGATTGATTTTTACGATTAATGCGTCTGCAGATCAATTTTTCAAACACACAAATATGTACAGAGGCAACGTAATAAACAAGAATGAAATATTTTACAGCAAAAGTCATAACACAAACTTAAAACACGAAGCACTCGTCGTCCACATCATGAAATATATTGAATATTGTTCCAGATGCAGTCGAGAAACGTTTCAATTTATAATAAGCTGTAAACTCTTTTCAAGCTCTTTGAATACTTGGTCAGGACAAAAGTAAAAAATCAATTACGTACGCAGAAGCCAGTTCCAGACTCTCCATATACATATATATATACATTCCCGATGCGTAACAAATGGTGAACCGATCTAGGTACACAGCGGTGAATAGAATGCTTGCCAGGCAGGCAAATACGGAGAAGTGTTCACAATAAGATGAAAAGTCAAAGGGATGGACAGACCAAGAGATTAATGCACGAAAAGTTGAAAAAAGAAAAGTATCTGGAAAAGCGAGCGAGGAAATGGAGGGAACGACAATGAAGGAAGAAGTGAACAGCACGGCAGTCGGAAAGATAGAGAGAAAGAAGCTTGAGAAAGCGGGGGTGTAAGCGATAGCGGGGACACAGGCTAAAAGACAATTGAACGGAAAGGGCAAGAGAACGAACGGACAGATGGGCAAACATGACGAAATGCACTTGAAACCCAATATAATTCTAAAATATAAATAAATTATGAGATCTCGGACAATTTTTCTTCTTCTTGAATTACATAAGTTGCGCGAAGCAGTCAATATATATTGATTTGTTCTTAATGGTTGTGAAAAGTAGAACTATTTCAATATATTTCCTAGGGACACACATTGTTTCCACAGGACATTGGTTCCGCTCGTTGGTTGGCCCATTGTACAATAAACTTCCTTTCGCTCTATATGCACAATCGGTGCACATAGTTATTATTACATCAACTCATTCATAACATCATCGATTTATTTAAAGTAACTCCAAAGTACTTGATGTCATACACGAAATATATATACAAGAAAATTTGCGCATTAACACACATACACACTCGTAAGCGGGCATTTATAAACATGTGCACTTACTTGTTATCGTTATAATGCATTCATAACATGTAACACGTATAACAATGTAATTGACTGTAATAATAATGATAATAAGGAAAATAAAATTCTACGGACGAAATGTGCTCAGAAGCAAAACTGGTAACAATTCGCAAAATGGTCAACAATGCAATAAAAAGACAATTTGCTAATATCACAACAGCTTTGCAGTTAGGAATGCTAACAACTGATTGGAAATATACATTGAACGCTGCATTTCAAGAAAGAGCTCAACGGTACGACTTTTCTTTGTATTTTCTACTATTATTTGTTTTTTTTTTAATTTTTAAAAAATTATAATTTACGTCCAAGAAAAAGTTTAAATACCTTATGTATATATATATATATATATATATATATATAAGCTTACTAACACATTACAGAACACCGACCATTTGTCGTGCCCTTCTTAGGACTGTCGTTGGAAATCCGCACTTGTGGAGATGGCTGCGCATCTCTTACACCAAGCTTCGAATTTTTTTCCGAATTATTTTACTGAGTCCGTATCAATACCAACCCTATGCTTTATATTCAATAACTCGGTCATCTTTGAAGTGAGAAGACTGTCTATGAACTCTTTGATGTCCGCATGTTTGGTGATTGGAAATAAGTACAGTTGGCCTTTTAAAAGTTTTAAGCACCCAGTGATTGTAAACACATGTAACACAGCTGTCACGATAGCGTACCCCTAGACAAGCAGAAAATTAATTCAGAGAGCTGCCTGTTATCTGTTAAAAATTTGCAGGACATAGACGCAACAAGTCACGTATGTGGGCGGTTGACCGCCGATCAGCATGACTTGGCTTTGAAAAGCTCGAAAAATCTATCGAACCCTCTATCAATTAGTTACCTAGTATGCCTACAAAGTATAAGGAATTCCACTGCTTTTGGAATCCTTTTGGTAGTGAACGCAATTTGCTTAGCATTTTAATCTCTGCAGTGGCACGCGCAGGAAAGCGGTAGCTTTGTTAGTTTTCACAAGATCTTTGGCTTTACTGCGTGTCACTTTATAGATGTCCTGAAAATTTACATTTGAAATAAACAAATTCCCAAAAAAAAATTGATAAAACAAAACTTAAAAAACAAATGTAAAATATAAGATTACAAGCAGATACCACAGCTTCCTGTAGATTACAATAAAATAGCATGGGACATATTGTATCGCTTTATATAATTTCGAGAAGACATCGAGCTGTCGTAAGTTGAAGGATTCATCGTAAGACAAACACAAGTGGATAAGTTACATATGGTTCGAAGCGAATTTTAGACACCTGTGTCAACCAAGCGTATTCACCTTAAACTGGCCCTGATTATAAAAATTCACACTAACTCGTTTCTATTCTTTCAAGATTCCGCACTAAACGATCGTAAGCCGTATGCCTTTCCTAAGTGTAACTATGACAATCTATTACAAATCTATTTAAAACTCCTTTACTCAGTAACGAAAAGAATGAAAGATAAATAAAAAATTAATTTTACAAAATATTTAACATCATCATAATGAAAATACTTACAATCCTTGCAGCATATGTAGTCTACAGAAAACTCGTGCTTTTAACTCCGTCAACAAATTGCCAGCTAAGAATCTACAAAGAGCGATAAAGAAAAAAATATAAAGAGAAGAAAAAAATAACAAAAAAAGGATTTTTTTTATTATAAGAAAATTTTCTTCGTATTAAATACGACTCATAAAACAAACAAGAACACGAGCATTAACAACTATGGCAAGAGTAAGAATAGTGTTGCAGCGAACAATATAATAATATAAGTTACAGCAGTAGTAGTAGTAGTAGTAGTAGCAGTGGTAGTAACGATAGTTAGTAGTATTAGCAGTAGTAGGAGAAACATTTATGGCATTAGTAGCAAAACGAGAAGCACAAGAGCAAATTTGCTCAAGGCTGTGATGAATAATTTTTATAATGACGATATCACTGTCTCCCGCAATCACTAATGACAATTGAGCGCTTCTCAGAGTGAATTGTTATAATCACACTTTGGCGCCAAGTACAAGAGATCTATGTATTAGTCTAACAGCTCTATCCTGGCATTGCGACCAGTCACTACCAGTCACTAAGAGAAAGCGATATTTTTTCTGCTTATAGTCTTTGCGACTTTGTATCAAATTTGTATTCTCTGGTAGTCTGGTACTCTGGTACTCTAGACCAGCAGACAGAATAAACTCCTCATTTACCCCTCATATTACAAAACAAAGTTTTTATGCCACAAAAATCAGAAGCAATTGCTTGTGGCTTCATAGCCTGCGACTTCTTTGTGATGTTGCTTAGAATATGTCCGTTAGTAAGCTTAGCTCCACTACACACTGTAATCGTAAACTTCAAAAATACGCAAAAATTTATTTCATTCTTGTCTTGTACAGAAAGTAGTGACCGAAAGCCCACAACGCCAGTGAAATCTCAAAAGCGGTAGAGTTTACACACTTCTGCTGGACTACGGGCGTCACCCCCTATCTCTTTCTCTTTCCTTACTTCTCTCTGGACGTCAATCACGTCCCGACCAGATTAGACAACCCCTCGGTAATATTTCATACTAAAAAAGAAAGATGTCGTGGAGCATTCCTCCTTTCGTTCGTTCGCAAATACCTCAAGCAATTAATTAAAACCTGCAAGTTATGTCGAGATATTAAGAAATTACTTATGATAGTTTAACTCTCAAAAGTTGGAAAAGGAATGCGCTTTCTATGGGGAGAATGCCTTAAAGGAAAGCATCCCCATATTGCCAAACTACTCCGTACACTCACCCAGTCAACACTAACGTCAGTAAACTCAGAGTTGATGATGCAAATACTGACTCATCAACCAATGGCTTTCAAGCCATTTCTCGTTTTGCACCATGAGCTCAATTTTTGCCACGACCCATTTCAACATAGCTTTGCTGAACGCATGTCAACTTTTCAGAAGTACATTGCTTTCGAATTGAAGGGTTGTAGGAATCTTCACCCAAAAGTTAGTTCAAAGTTTTATTTTCTTCACGCGGAAAACGCACGTAACTATATACAGCTCTCATAAGACACTACGTGACAGCGTGAACAAATCATGTCTGCGACGGTGTATTACCTTTCATACGTTAGTTTGCTTTTCCTGACTAGAAGGGTTTAATGATTTTAAAAAGCCAGTTAATTGTATTTATAGTCTCCCTATCTGAGGTCACTTTAAAAACACATGACCCCTTCGTAGGTGTAACGCATAGTTCTACTTAAATCTTAGATCGTTTCGTTGTGTAAGACAAACTTGACAACATTTGCCGCCATTCATCTTAACACTGCGAACACTGACATGCACTTTTGTATCAAGTTTTGTTCTAACATTATCTGCTCGTCAAGTCAACTGCATGCAAGAGAAGTGCTTTTTTACACGAAACAAACGCAGACGATAACGCTTGTAAGCTCTGAATATTTATAAAAGACAAGAAAAACAACAAATCTCCTAAACGCATTCAAACGCCACCACAACTGCTTCTTCTCCGGTTTTGTATACTTACAAATGCCGTAAACGTGGCATTGGGAATGATTGCTATGCAATGTCTTCAATGCGATTATGAGCGAAAGACAATGTCTGCAGACTCGCAAGTAATGGAAACATGCCCGGGCGGAGTTGACGTATTTGATTCTCATTAAGATAACTGCATCGAAAGAAATTTTTCAATGGATTAAAAAACATTAAGCAAAATATTAATTAAATTAAAATTTGAAACCGCTTCAGAAATTTATTTTATAAATTTATTGTTATTAGAAAACTTTTATAATCTCCCATAAGCTTTGTAAGCTTAAGGTCGGTTAAAGTTACTTAAAATCGTTTGTAATCTCTTTTAGCGACGTAGGACGCATAAATTGTTGCTCATACTCACAGTACTTCCAAACTTTTCAAGGGCTCAAATACTTCGGCTGCAAATGTTTCCAAACGGTTGCCGCGTAAATCTCTTTGTAAATGAAAAAATATCTCATTTTGCATTTAGTGAATTTAATTAAATTTTATAGTTGACGTTAGACTTACAATTCCACCAAACCAGTCAAGTGTAGGAAATCATAATTGTGCAGTACATTTAACTGATTGCCCGATAAAATTCTGGAAAGCACGAAACAAAGTCAAACAAATGTAGGAGAAAGAGAAAGAGAGAGAGAGAGAGAGAGAGAGAGAGAGAGAGAGAGAGAGAGATAGAGAGGGAGATGTAATAGCTTATTAAACTACTCCGCCTTGTGCCCCTAAAGATATTATTAAAGTATATTTTTCCAATTATTGTAAGTCAGAACTACTGAGTTAAAAAGTAGTGAACAATGTTTATTTGACAAGTGATCAATAAACAGAAAACACATCACGCAATCAGTCTTCTGCCCGACTCATACATTCACTTTTGACAGACTCATGTAATTTATGGAGGGTAACAACCTTCGTAACATATCTTTCATATGTCTATAACGAATCAACATTTTGTACACTTCTTCAGTCAAATGATGCTTTGAAGCGTATGGAGTAAACAAACGTCCTATTACATCCAAGAGATCGGATGCTTTTACATGGGATGAATCCTAATACTGGGCAAAAGTGTTTCCAACAACTCTCCATAGTAAGGGGACCGTGCAGCTTTGGCAAATTATTTTGTTGCTTGATGCATTTTGCCAAAAAAGCACACACCCATTGTTTTATATTTTCACTCTGAAATAGTTTGTGCTCTACGTTCCCTTGTGGTTCGCTATTTGAATTATTTCTCAAAAAGAGCATTTTAAACAACTCCGACAGTTTTGCTTACTGGAGCTTGAGTTAAATCGTTTCAACAGAGTTGAGTTTACTTTTTATGGAAAGGCGCCTAAGCATAATGCGATGGTTGATGTTGTCTTCTAGCAAACAGTGTATGGAAATACACTTAACACCCAGAAGGACTCAGGCCGAATTTTTCATTTCATTTTCTGAATCGATTCAGACTTGTCTGTCCATCTGTCCGTCCGATAACCGTTCGTGTATTCTTGAGTTCAACCTAACGGGCGCAATTTTGAAGATACCATTATCAAGTACACAGGTTCAGTGACGTATCTCGGCCTAAGGACGGTACTGGGCAGTGATGGAAAATGAATGCGATCGGACTACTTTTGCGCCCACCGCCCATATAGCGTTTTATCTTAAATAAGCCGGTTTTTGAAAACAAATTACAATTTTCGAAATATTTCGCCAAAAATTGCTAAACGATAGTGTTTCGCTTTCTAAATTGATGCGAAAAATCCGATTCGACAAAGCGATCTTTTGGAATCCTCTCTTCTATAACCAATCCTGCGTAGGCTAAACTTTGCATGGGGGAAATTAATCCACGATAATAGTTTTACTTAAAAATGAAGTGAACTAAAAATGAAAACTATAAACCTAATTCCCGGACATCATTTCATGTTTGAGTTCTGTTGGAAAAGGTGTAATTTTGAAAATTTCATAATGAATATTTGTCCGTAATAGCAATTAGGCGCAAACATTAAATTTACAAAGTTTGGACCTAGTCGGTAGACGGTTTTGGGCACCCTCCAATACAAGCGTCTGTAACCCTTTACAGGAGAACACAATATCATTATTTGTGTATTAGCATGAAAATCAATAAAGTGGAGTAGAGTGTTTAACGGTCGGTCTTATTCGACTACAACAATTTTGCTTTCAGTTACAGTTTAGTTTGCACAGCGTGCATATGCTCATGATCACTAGATGATCTTCAAATTCTCGACTACATGTCACCCTGTTCGTCGAACATTTTGTGTGGAATCTCATGACCATGAAAATAGGAGGTGGGCGGCAAGTCAATGGAGAATTTTTACAGTCAAGCTCTTCACTTCTTCGTTTGATTTTATGCATCATTTCTTTATCTTTCCTCCGTGTTGTACCACACTGTTCCATGTTCAATCTCTTTAATAACAACAACAACAAATCGAAAACTTTTCAACCATCAAAAACACTCACGCCTTGATAAATGGAATTTTCATGGCTTGTAAGTAAACAAGACCACAAAAAACTTCCTCTGTCCATTGTTCCACAAGTAAAATTTCTCCACAAGTTACTTCTGTCTTCTTCTGTCCCCAGAAGAGTATGCAAAGAAATGTTTTCCTTTCCTTTGGAATTTGCTTTGACATGTATGGCAAAAGTAAATTATTATTAAGATTGTCGTTGTTATTGTAATTGTTATTATAATTGTTGATCTTTGTTGGTTTTATTAGTTTTCTCTTTCTCTTCGAAGTTAAACAACCGTACGAAGGAGTAGGCGGAGGAATTAAAAACTATTGTATTTTATTGTGCGAGTGCATGTATTTTAAATGTAAACAAAAGGATTGGTTAGCATTTGAAATCGCAACGATGGCACGACCACGTTTGTGCCTGCGTATGATGGAATGCATGCGTACATCAAATACATTCGTGTAAATGTCAGTAAGCAAAGCAGTAAATGTCAGTTGTGCACATTCACAAGAAATGCTTTATGCGGGAAACCTTAGAAAGCAAACGCTGACAAAGGGAAGACAACAACAACATTATCAGCAGCAAACGTAGCCATAATATGCAAAAATATCATAAAATTGTAAACTTGAAAATTATTTTGAATAAAACCGGCAATAATACCAGAGGACGCATGAAGGCGAAGACATTTGATAATGAATAAAAAATTCTAGTTAAACCCAGTATCGTCATAAGATGTTGGTATGCTGAGGTCATCAATGAAAATGAACGTTCGGAACGTTATCCACGAAGGTTATCAACTTGCAGGAAAATAACTGTGTCGGTACCGTTTACGACTGGTGCTGAAACTATAGATCTCGGTTGATATAATACCCAATGAATAGATTTTGACATTTGAACTCATAACACCATCTCATGAATAAAAGGGAATGACTTTCTGAGTTTATCGGACATAACTCCCTAGTTGCGGTAGATCTGATGAGAGCGTCGTCTTGTAGTTCTTCGAATGCTTCAAAGCTATAGCATTTCTTGGAAACCAATTGGCGCCGATCGTTGTTTGACCATTTGGTTTATATAGAGGGATAAATGTCAGTTGACAAGAAACGCTCATGAAGTGCATATGTCTGCACTACACTTACACTCCTATACTTTTCAAAAATATATCAATCTATCTACATCGAATCGATCGGTAATAACATGGAAAATAGAGAAGAATAATAATTAAAACCCGATTGCCTCCTATTGACTGTTAACGTATCTGATGAGCTCTTCTTTCTCCCAACCTACGAACTCAATTGAACGTCAAATCGATCTTCTGTTATTTTTTTGATGATCATCAAAGTTGAAATTTATGCTCAATGTTGTTAACGTGGAAATCATGTTGAAAGCATACAGTCGCGCAAGACCGACTTACGCTCATCTATTTCTTTATGTCTATTTTTAAAGTAAAATACCATAAATTAGACATTGTCCACATATAAAGGCTTGTTGTTCGTGAGAACCCTGATGTGCAACAAAAGAACAGAGCTACAGCAAACCACATTTATATGTTAATTCATTGTTTTATACCAAATACCAAGGAGTACACTTTGCTGGTATTCTAAGGTTTACATTTTATAACCAGCTTTATATGGGTAGGAATTTAAAGGATGGCCCCAGCCCCTTCAGATTTTATGATTTGTTTAATAAGGCAAAGCACATTTTTTGCACGAGTTTTTATCGACAAAAATCAAAAATGCAAATTTTGTTCACGTATCATGTCATGTTCTCAAAATCAGGCGTCGTATAGAAATCAGTCATAGAGCGTTGGTGCTTGAGCGACAACAAATTATTATAACTACTTTTATCAAAATATCTGAAAGGCACGATCTGTACGTTGAAAAATAAATAGACATATACTGGCACCGGACGGACGGACAGACAAACAAAGACACGGACGTACACTTTTAAGTCTATTCGAAAAATGATTTAAAAGATGAGTTTATCTCACCTATCAACACCTTCGTGGCGTTGCGTACATAAACACAGGCTATATATACCTCTTACTATAAGGGGTGTAGGAGATAATAAAATCACTTCGCTATTTTCCCTCATATTCTTATTATTTGGAAATGAAAGAATGCCCCAAGTCAACAAGAGTAGAATTTATGTTTTATCAATGGATTAGAGGTCAGAGTTCATTGAGAGAAATTTGAAACCACTCTGCTGGATACTGTTTTCTATAAATTCTTAAATTTGTTTACTCTTTCGCTGGCTTTAAATTGGTTTGCATGACACTTTTTCTTTTTGTTTAATTTCATTCTAAATAATTAATTGTGTACACTTTTGACCTGCGTGGAGGCGGCTTATTACGCCACGTCGCAAGTCATTAATTTACAGCATACTCTGTCGCGCACACGTTACCTTTATCAACTTAATGGCAGAAAACAATAAAATAAAATTAAATTTCACATTATGATTACATTATGTACTTTATTGAAATGAAAAAACATTTTTCATTAACGATTCTCTTATCGGGAGATCTTTGAGGTGTCCAACCAACAACAATAACACGTCATTATAATGACGTCGACAGGCAAACAGCGGCAGCAGCAGCAACGACAACGTCGCGTATGATTAATATTAATTAAGGTTGTGATTTCGTGCAAAAAAAAATAGAAAAAATCGAGTTTGCATCCTCCCCATGCGAATGCTATCATGTTATGTGTTGACATGATTAACGTTCGTTTGTGTCGTGTGCACAGAGTATAACTTTTGTTTGAGATAAGTTTTATTTTTTCTACTTTTTTTACACGTTCTTTCCATTCTCAAATAGAGCAAAATTGATTCGGTTAAAATTAAATAATACTACAATGCTAGCATGAAACTGTGTAGGAAACCCCTAAAGAACTTTCATCTTGCTTTCTTCACTTAGGCAGTGTATTCCAACACTGCGCCCCGCCTTTTTTTTATACTCTACACCACTTGCGCTTCAAGGGTGCATTAGACGATCAAAAAGGTTTTATAAAGTACTTTCGAACTTTAAACTTATCAGCTGAGAAATATGAATCTTTTAACTTTGATACGTTTAAATGTGTGTGTCGCGTGTATCGCGTAGGGCCTGAAATCGTCAAATCTACTACGTTATGTTGTCCATTATAAACACAACATAGAGAAATTTGTATGTGTTTTAGCATTAGTGTGTATATATCACCTGAGGTAAAGTCGTATTAGGTCTGTGCGACTACGAAGGGCAAGTCTATCTCAGGTCAGTCCTCGGGTTTTGTATTCAACCTACAAGTCGTAAGTGTCAAGACATTTCGATGAAAATTTCTCGGAATCAAGGACCAACGCTATTGAAAATAATCTGGAAGGGACATTTTCACGAATACTCCTCCTGCTAAATGAACAAAGGGTATTTTGGAATAAGGTTTCATTTTTGGTGTTTTATGTAAATAAGTGCTACGAAGCCGTGACTTTCTCTTCAAACCACTCCCCTTTAAGTAGATTTCCGCCACATGATGACTAAACGGAGAGACGGACATGCTTAAATCTATTCATAATATGATGCTGATCAAGAGTGCATATACTTTGTGGGGTCTCTGAAGCTTCCTCCTTGCCAATGCAAACATTGTGACAAAATGAACATAGCTCTCATCCTTCAATGAAGGACATAAAAACCCTTTGGAAGATTTCCTAATTGTTTGTAATCGACAATTAAAGTTCAAGTTAAAACAATGCCAAACGCTGATGAATATAACTTTTATTGCCTTAGCTTGCACAGCCAAATGACATTTTGCTCTGCCCTAACTAAAATTTCATCCTACGTTTATAAGTTAGTCTACCCAGTAGATTAAATCTTTTTTTTAAAATCCAAGCCGAGAAGCAAAAAAAAAATGAAATAAAATAAAAGTTAAATCGATAAAAATCTTAATCAGAAACTTACAAAATTTTTAAATAATTTCCCGGCGCGAATAAATTCGGTGGCAAACTTTCAATTTTGTTCTCGTCCAGATATCTGAAGGAAGAAAAGCAAGATAAAGAAGAAAACAAAACCAAGTTAATAAGAATTTTTTAACTTCGGCTGAAAACGAATTCTGACAACCTATGAGCTTAACAAACGAGGTGACACTGTTGGTCTTAAGTATAAGATGAGACGAATGCAGACATGAATGAGATAAGAATGTTGGAATTTTGGTTCGACACCTATCTGAAGCATCTTTTCCAAAAGGATGTATGTGTTGCTAGTAAGCGCGTGAGTCTTAGATCAATGCGTGTTATAGATAAGATTTAATTATCGAAAATGTTTGAAGCTTTACTTCGTCACTCCTTGTGGACACTTACTTCACCTACTTAGGGCAAACCTGTCTTTGCATTCTGAACTCTTGGATGAAAGCGTAGATACAAAAACAGACAACCGGACAAACGAAGATAAAATTCGGGGAATGGACGATTGCACGAATACTTGCTACGCGTGATCTCTTATCTCTGGTTGTTACGTCGGGAAGGTTAGATCTAACACACTTTCGTGCACTGATAGTAAGCACGAAAATCAAAGGATGCCTTAAAAAAGATAAGCAAAAATAGAAAAACGATTTTTTTTTATTTTATATAAAAAGAAATAATTTTTCGCTTCATTTCATAGGCGATGCTTGTTATGTGCCTTCCTTACGAGCAAAAAGAAAACAAAGTCAATTTTCAGTTTATTGGGTAAACAATAAATTGAAGATTAATTTTTGATTTATATCAGCAATTAAAGTTTATGGTCAGCCAAAACGACAAAAAAAGAGTTGATATGATGTCCTCGAACTTTTGGACGCCTACCTTGGCGCTCTGTACAATTTATCCACACATAACTTTGCACTTTGCAAAATTGCGACAGATGTTTGCTTGTCTTTTACACGCTTGCGTATAGAATTCGTTACCGTCGATAAGAGTTGAAACTAACGGCGGCATATGATTGCATGAATTCTGATAATTTATTTCTAAAAGACGAAAAGGCGCCGTAAGTCGGACCCCGTAGCCGTGGGGCAAATAGTACATAACAAGTTTTGAGTAAAGAAAACGCAAAGATTTTGAGGAGCTTCGGAAATCTAACTTCCGGCCGTCCACTACCTACTGGTATGATATTAGTCTGGCCGATGCTATAAGCGACTCTGACGGACATTTGACGATCAATGAAATGAAGCATAAGCCCGACGTTGGAAAATTTCGCCCTCTCGTGGCAACTTGCGTTCCCGCTTTCGTGGGGAATTATGGCTTAAGAAGAATTGTTTACTGAAACTTGCGTTGTTTCACCGCGAACTGGTGTAGTGTATAAAAAAGAAATTCCTCTCACTGGAACTGAAATTCGCTTATGAGGATTGCAAGCACGAGAAGTGTATTTTCGCATTTTAGCCTCCAAGAATAAGTTAATAGAATCTGGCTTGAGTGTTTCGAGATATTAAGTCTTCGAGGTCATCCATAAACAATTTGTTTGCAATGCTTCCTGATCACTATAGCAACTGTTTTGCTCTTAAGATGTGATTCTAGCAAACATTTGGAAAATTGCAAAAGCCCTTCAATAGGGAGCTTCGTCTCCAATGAACCAGTCCACTATATTCCAATGGACAACAAAAACATTACCTAAGGGTTCACGCAAGTGATATGAAACCATAAGGCGACCCCCTTTCACGTAACTTATGTCTTTTTGCTCGTATGTTACGGCATTTTTAGTAAACAAACACTAACTCACAACGCCATGAGTATCACTGTGAGATGCATTTCCTAGGGTTACACGCAAACTGGTAAACTAAGTGTGCCCCTCGGTGCTAGTGGGTGTAAACATCGAGGCCGCTTTTTTCATACAAAAATTGTTGTTTTTTTTTTTTGTTTATGAAGTGCATATGACTCTTACACATACTTACAGTGTCTTAACTGGTATCGTAGATAAACGTTTAAACGCATTTTCTGTCAGCTGAGCAATGCCACAAAATTTTAATACTCTGCAAAAAAAAGAAGGCAACCAACGCACAACACAAACAATTATTGAAAACAAATTTAATCAAAAGTAAAAAATTCTTTTTTTCCCTCGAATCAGTTATGCTCTCAAACTGTCAGTTAAAAGAAGTGAATTTTTGGTTAGACTTCCTGTGCGATTGTTTAGAAACATATTGGGTTCCACTCGTTGAGTTCAACAAATTACTTTTCAACAATCACTTACTGTGGCTTTTTTTATACCCATCACCGAAGCATGAGAGGTATATTCATTTCGTCGAAACGTTTGCATCACCCAGGAGGAAGTTTCAGAGACCCCACAAAGCATTCTTTATCCTGAATCGATTTAAGCATGTCCGTCTATCTGTCCGTCTGAGTAATGTTTGTGGTAAACATTCTCCTCTAAAACTAAAGCCATCGGCTCGGAATTGAGTAAAAATGTTGGAAGTTCTTACACGCAGGTCCATACCGGAAATGCGGTCGAGAATTCGTTTTTCCTTAGTGGTATTGTCAATTAGTTATCAGTTGAAAAGACTTGGGGAGTAGATATAGATAGGTTAACTGTGATGGGTACATATAAGATTCGGCCGTGGCCGAGCATAATTTTCTTACTTGTTTTTGTTTGCTGATTTTATTTTTTGTGTTCGTTTCCGCTTTCATTTCGCTGCGGAGGAATTCGCTGACGTGCTCAGCAATACTTCAATAATTGAAGCGTAATTTTCTTTAAAGTTGTTAAAAAAAGGAAAAAGGCTCCTTTAAATCCCTGAGTGTTGGCCGTTTTCTATCCATAAATTCCATAAAAGCTTCCCTAACGGAGCAAACAGAAGTAGAGTCTTTTACAAATTTTCCTTTTGCTTAGTCCTCTACTACTATTCATCTACTTGGCAGGTAGAGGATAAGCATGTGCACACACACATACACATCCGTATGCAATCCGTTGGTAGACACACAATTTTAATTTATAATTGAAACCTACGGTTAGAGACAATGTGGACAAGCATTTTTTTTTTTTTTAAGTAAGGATTGAAAATTAATTAATTGCTTTCGTACCGCTAAGGGAAAGATTTAGGAAAAGCTTCATTTATGTTTGCGTTTTGTTTCGATTACTGAGGGTAACCCATCGATTTGAAAGACGTGCTACGAAGTCGTCAGGACTACGCATCCAACTAAGTGTCAGGGTCCGTCTATTCGGAAAACAATGCCACTTAGGCCGAATGTTAATCGAATCCAAGCATTAACTGTACTTGAGTCAATTGTGATTTCAGTTTCATATATGAATAAAAATATCCAAATGAGAAAATTGAATAGAGACAGGATGACACATGATGACTACACATGGATCTTGGAGTTTAACATTCGAACAACGGGTGTCACAGTTGACCGAAATTGAAAACTAATCATAAAAACCAGCAAAATGAAGACCTTCTATTGTAGCTACTGCTGTGTTCAACGGTACAACGGTGCCACGACATTTTCCAAAATGATTACACCAAGTACAAATTCGTGATGTTTAACCTGCCGATAATGAAGAATACTCCGGAAAAGGGTTAACACAATGAAGCAGAGTATCTGAGGTAAGGATCGACACTACAATAACTTGAGCACAGGAGACTGATACTCTTTTGAGTGCTTTTGTAAGACTCCTTGTCTTCGAAGCTTTCGCTCCTCCATTCTTCTTTTTTGGGCTGTATAAGAGACGAAAGTCTAAAAGGAAACCTGATCGTTATAAAGGTTTCTTAATACCTTGACGGCGGTCCGGCCACAGAAACATAGAAAACGCTTTAAAAAATGTACGCAAACAAACGTCAAGTTTCCAAAGCACTCCATACGATGCTCACTTTTCTATTCTTAACATTATGATTAATATTCTAAACAATCCTATTCTGTTAACAGTAAAATATATCTGGCTGAGTGCCCGAGTAGGCAAAAAGTCTCGACTAGCAGCTGAATGGTCGTGGGTTCGAATCCCAAATGCGGTAGAATTTTCAATAAAACCGATAGCCTTAGATGCACTTAGAAGCACTTTTAAGACTTTAATCTTATTCTCTGGCTAAATTAATAATAATAATAATAATAATAAAATATAATGTTTTTTTTTTTTCTAGAATACTTACAATGTCTCAGTTATGGGTAAGTTATCCAAAAATGATGCTGACAGTGATGTAAAATTGTTACCAGTCAAATCTCTGAGGAGCAAGAAATTATGCAAGAAAAGCAAGGGAATAAAGTGAATTTTAACTTAATATTAAAAGTTTAAAAACATATTCTATTGCAAAGAAGGAAACACTTACAGCATAGTAATATCACGAGCGGGTAGATTTATAGGAATAGCAGACAATTGTTGAAAACGACACAATAACTCTGAGCCACGACAAGGGCAACTTAAATTCTGCGAGTTGGGCCACACTGTAAAAAAGCAACAAGAGATACGCATAAGGGAAGACCTGAAAGTGCGAACGGTGGAAACGCGTGGAGGTAAACTACATAAGTTGGGTCTGAAGAGTGTACACAACATAAACATTACCATTAGCATTAAGGATAGGGTGCAACAGAATGCAAAGCAATAGCAACACAAATGGAGGGACATTAGCAAGGATGACACAACCCGCACGTATTCATACAAATTAACATACAATTGCTGTTATTTAAATAGTTAGGAACGTTTAATTTCAAGCGACTAATTAGCATTTCTTGCCAAATTGTAATGAAAAGCGACACGACCGTACCCAACTTTTCGCCCATTACGCTTCATCACATCAAAATGACAACATGCACACATATATATTTTTCTCTTATTGCTTTCACTTACAGCATGTACCGATGGGTATATCATCGTGGCGTCCGTATGGTTGTTTACGAAATAAATGATCCCAAAATTTGGCATCGATGTCGTTAACACAATTCCACTCATCGGAAGCATCATCACAATCAGCTTGGCCGTCACAATTGAGACGTTGTTGAACGCATTGTGTCGTTGTGTTGCATTGGAAATAACCCATCGGACATGTAGCATCCAATACATCGATGGGCAATATAACAATGGTGTTGTCCTGACTTGAACTAAATGTCAACGCATCTGTGACACCCACAATTATTGTCATCGTCGTTATAATCATCATCATCATCATCAAGGGCGGGAATAATGCGACATTGCCTTGCATTAAATGCCAAAACGAATCTAAAAAGAAACGAAAATAAATAAAGAATGATAATTTAAACGACCCGTCTCTCTAAATATCTGGTTCTACTTTTTTGTGAAGTATGTTGTGCAGAATGTTCAAAAAAAAAAAAAAAAAAAAAAAAATTAAAATGCAGCGAAATTTCCTTAGTTTGTCATAACCCGTACAGCCTTACATTTATATAAACGATTCTCTGCACTAATCTGAAGTTTGTGCCCAAACACTGTGATCGTCAAATATCAGTCAAAACGTTGTACTGAACGACGACCCTAATAAGCGCTAACCATTTAATTGTGATTTGCTGCTCAAAAGCCACCGAAGAGAAGGATTCATTAGAGTAGCGAAAGGCTGTTAGCGATGGGAAGTGCTCTTCTAACCATCAAGTCAGTGGAAAAAGATTATGATCGAGGTAGGCGAAGGACGGGTCGAATGGTCGCACGAACTGAATTAAATCTAACATAAACTATAGTCCAGTCCAGGTACTATTATGAGCTGTTGCCATCCAACAAGAGAACCCACGAATAAGCAATGGCGGACTACCTATTGACTTGAAAGCCCAGCAAACGTTCCTGTCGTCGGGAAAATCTATTGGCGTATCCACGGTATACGCTCGACCTCTACAGCAGCTCCTATGCTGAACTAAACTAACCTTGCGACCTCCAAACGCATGCGAAAATTGCTCGGTGAACATCTTACGCAGAAGGCAGACATCATTAGTACAGAATTCATCAGAAAGTGTCCTTTTTATTGTGAAGTAGTTTACTTTCAAGAGTTACACCACTTTCGCCAAAACCTATGCAGAGACTCATGTCAATGTCTTTTATCCCTTCCTTTATTTCTTTTAAGAAAACCGTAATGGTGTGGAGACGTGTGCACACATGACAATATAAAACATGTCAGCGTAGACAGATATATATGCAAACATAAGTTTCGAAGTCTGTCTTCATTCCCCGGCCACAGTGTTTTCGGTGTTCGTAGTCAGAAAACTGAATATTACTCTCGTCGAACACAAACAACAATTTTCTTAATTTTATGTAAGAAGAAAAAAACAAGTTTTCACTTTATTGAAATTATTGTTTACCAATGAAAGTCATAAGAAAATGCAAAGAAACATGTGAAAATGATTCTCATGTCAACTCCGATCACCACTATATAAAACTTTTGTTGTTAAAACGGGGGAAAAAAAAATGGAAAATCATTCTCGATTTTCTTTTTATTCATAAAAATATGCTAAGCCCCGGAAATATATTGCTCCTGGTATCTATGCAGAGTAAATAATGAGTAACATGAGATGGTGTTGGTAAAGGAAGACACGAAGTTTACCCAAATATTTGCACACAATGGTCACAAAATATTTGTCTCAGTTTATTCATTTTCATTACAACTTTTTTTTTTGTGTTTCATAACAAAAACATTTTGTTTCGATGAAATTTATTATTAAAAAGAGATTCCGTACTATTTACCATTCAGTGTTCAATAAATACTTAAAATGCGATTAAGTAAATTCTTTAATGATTTATACTCATTCTCCCTCTCGCTCTCGCTCTTATTGTGTTTTGTTCCTAAAATTATTTTTTTTATGCCTATCAATGCAGGTGATCGGCATACTACGTTTGTCTCTCGACTGGTAACTTTTAGTCACTTGTGATCGTTTGTATAAGATGAACTGCCTTTAGATTAATACTAATCGGGCCACGATGGGTTTTTGGGCCACCATTTTTGATTATTTGATATCACGCTTTCAAACATACATAGGGCTTGTGTGTATTTTATATTTATATACGGCCCTCTCTTGTTTGGATGAATGAATTCAATCTATTAAGAAAAGCAATAGCATTATAATTATTCGCATAACTACCATAAGTGGTTCGTTATAAAATCATCTGATACGATTCGGCTTAGGAATAAGATTCCGAGGGCATTACATCACCTTTGTCTGTCCAGATATCTCATTTTGGTTTTCTTTAAGCTTCAAAAGGTATAATAAAAAATTGTAAATCGACACACACACACTTTCCTCAAATATTACAAAAGCTAAATTATCCTCCCAATGCCGAACCACTGATATAAACTGCAGTGGCTGGATCTATCTAGAGGTCCAGTAGTGCATTGGTAGGTATAAAGCTCGCTTAACGATTAGTTTTAAATGTCAATCATACTTAGGGTGATGTCCCAAATGGTACAAATGGTCTAAGTGCTCAATACTTAGTAGCTAAGCCCGTGGCCATTTTCTTAGCTGTAACATCAATTTGATATTTGCTTTACTATCATTATAGATATAAGAATCTCGTTCTGTAGAAATTAAATTAATAAGTGATTGCGGGAGTGGCGTTAAATAATAAGATGCGAAAACCACTAGAAACTTTTGGCCATTATCTGGTTCCTATTGCGACGATATATGATTCTCAACTGCAGACGGGTAACAACATGCGCTTGTGGGTAATAATTCAATCGTCAGAGAACGTTAGATGCATCTAAACATGCGTATGATGCGAACGAAAGATTTCTTATAGGGCACACCACTACCTCTGCTCCCTCGTTGTCCAGTGCATCTAAATTACACTGAATTCTATTCCGTCATTTGTTTACTCTTTAACGCTCCTCTTCTTAACCGCTCTCCTCTCCTTTTAACCACTCTTTCACATACTGAGAACTTCACACATAGTGTAAACCACTTTGTGTTTTTTTCTCTTCTTTCATTAAACCATACCCGTGTTGTTGAGTGCAAATGTGCTTCCAGTTGTTTTAACAATACCAGAACAATATTACGCACGTGTGTGCTGGTGAATATTTGTATCTTCTTCTTATTGCATTTACGTTAGAGATTGTGGATATGATTTATAGGATAGACTAATATATATATATGTATATAAAGGTGTTTAGATATGATTTATTTGCATCAGACATAGTCTCTAATCTCAGGAAAATAACCAAAATGTTCTTTAGAAAGTTGAACAATACCTTGCGTCAAAATACTTTATCTTCTAACGCTGCAAAACACGTGAAGGCCGAACAAAACTCTTTTGTTCTTTCCGAGATGTGTCGAGTACTTGATAGGTTTAGAAAGCTGGGAAAGAAACTGATTGAATGAGATATCACGACTCATCAGCTTTTTAACCTTCGCGGGAATAAAAGAAGTTCTTGTCTCTCGCATTTCAAATTGATCTAAAGCTAACAACTGCCAGCAGAGGTAGCGATCACCTGCTTGGCAAACCTACCACTTCACAGTGCTTTAATCAGCAGACGAGTCACTGTAAAAGCCTACTCTTAATTAAAGAGACTTGTTCTCGAACGCCGTATAACTGAAAATCAACTGGCGACTTAATTGCTCTTGATTTGACTGCCCTGACGATGTGAAGTAAATAAACTAATAAACTCTTCCTGCGAAAGAAAGATTTTTGATGTCCCAGAACCTAATACTAACTAGCTGTGGGAGTAACTTTGCTTACAATCACCAAAAAAACTGATCTCATGTACTGCACGAAACTACTCCACAAAGCGTAAGGAAAGACCCTGATATCTCTACCTAGATCAAATCTGAAAGCGACCATAGCTTGTTTTGGTCAACGCGTCGCATTGTCAGATCTTATGCACAGAGATCTTCGCGGTAGTTGCTGACATCACGGGGTACATTGAATTCATCAAGGGAATACTCATCTGCTGTTCTGCCTTTGAGATAAGACGGAGATCGTTAGCGAATTTTTTAATAATCTTCTCGCAAGTAATCTGATTCCACAGCAGTCTGTTGCAATTTAAATCGGCTATGGGTCAGGTTACCATTCTAATCTAACTTAAGTAAGCAGCTTGTTCTCTCCAGCTATAAATTTATAATGCTCTTTAACCAACTCGGTACTCAGGCATAGAGGTGACATCCCCTGGATGTGGGAACTTAAAGTGGAAGTGTATGTTAGTTTACAAGTACTACGCTAACGAATAATGGCTAGCAAGTAGACCTTGAATTAGAAAATAGTTTCCAGAAGTGAAACCTGTGTTGGTGTATGTTTCAATTGTATCGGGAGAACTGTCCTCTATAAGTGCGAGCAGAAAATCGTGCCTCATTGCCTTCTAACGTAACCCCGACGTGAGAAACCATAAAATTGACAGAAATTCTCTAAAGCAAACGCAACACCATGGATGCATAAGCATCGCGAATAGTAGACCAATCTATTGGTAAATGTCTCGCCCCTCGATAATGTCTTTAAGCGTTTTTTGATTTTATTTTTATTATATAATTTATTTTTTTATTGCGTTTAAAATAAATTTTATTTAATAAGAAAAAACGCATTAAAATTTCGAAATTGCCAAACAATTAAACGAACACAATTCGAACCGGAATCGGATGTCAGTCAGTAAACAAACAAAAGTAAATTTAATCAACGTAAACAAAATCAATATTAAAAAGCGTGTGTTTATTGCATTACAACAACAACAACAACAATAAATGGAAATTGAAAAAACAGTGGAAAATAAAAAAATTAAGTAAATATTGTCGAAAAACTTATTGAAATGAGAACGAATAGGTTAACGTGAAGTCCTCTCACTGGTTGTTTTCGGGTTCGCGATTGTGTCATCAAATGCAATGCAAACGAATTCTTTTTTTCCATCAAATTTATTACTCGATAGCAGAAAATGCAGACGTGTTAACGCTACTTTACGATCGTTGCAATTATTATAAAATTTGCGGTAATTGATTGAACGTGTTGTGAGAAACCTTTCGACATGTCACTTACGCACATGGGTCAGTGAGCTGGATTGACGCTATGCAGGGGAATGTTGGTGTAGGCGACAATCTGTCAGTTTGCCGTCATTCTTCGCATCTGCTTCGGATATGAACATCTCTGCGATTACTTGCTGGCAGACTAAGCGAGAAAACTCGAACTGACTTACATGTATAAAAGCTCCGAAGACGAAAGCGAACGCCGAGGGCGACCGGAAATCTCCCGCGATATTGCTTTTGTGTACGGAACTTAAAATGTATGGAGGAAGTGAACAAT